CATCCTGGCTGTAGTACCTGCCTCCACTGCCTGGTGCAGCTGTTCAAATGCATAGGCAGGAGCTCTGTGCCATAGCCCTGTATCTGCTGTAGGTGGGGCCACCCTCTAGCTGGCCTGGTGCAATGGCAGGGGCTGCTGGTGTGGTTTGCAGCACCTGCTAGAAGGGGCAGCAGGCTGCATACTGCAGTGGAGGGCCTCAGGGCTGCGTTGCCAGCCAGGGTGATTGAGCTTCTGAAGCTCCTAAAAGTTCCCCACCTGCTGGGCTGAGTGTGCTGGGCTGATTTTGTCTCCTTGTCTTTTCTCCTGAGCAGCAACCTCTGTGTGATCTTTTCCCCTTTAGTGCCCCTCTTGCTGTTGGGAAGTCTTTCAAAGTGCCCACCTTTCTTTTTTCCAGGGGGGCTGGTTGTGTGTACCTGTTCTCCACAAGTGGCTGGAATCTGTCTCTCCCAGTATTCCACCCATCTTTGCTTTCCAACCCCACTAACCTCCGGAGCACTATGTAATGTAGGTTTGTGCTCCCGAAGCAGATCTGAAGGGCCATGTGTTCAGCAGTCTTGGGCTTCTCCTCCTCCCTGGCCCATTTCTCTCCTTCCCACCTGTAGAATTGGGAGGGGGTAGGTCCAGGTTCCACCAGACTGCAGCTTTGCTACTTTATCTTTTTCTGTGGAGTCTTCTCTATTCCCCCAGATGTAGGGAGTTTATTCTGCAGTGTTCAAGTCGCTTTCAGGTTTACTTGTTTTTGTTGTATTTTCAAGTTTTACGTGGTTATGGGAGGTGTGTGCCACACTTCTTACATTGCCATCTTTTTCTGACTTCCCACTTTTTCTTATAGGAATGATAATTTTGGTATCTTAGCAAGAAGTGATAATTTTCAATGCTGGCTCTTTCCTCAGACCTCTTTTCTTCATGATTCCCATTGCTAACCTTCAGTCATCAACCACTGTTTAAGAAACATCTAAGTAGTACCAATTTGCTTCAGTAACCATGATACAATAAATACTGTATCATTGTGAAAAATAGCAAAACCCATTGACACCCAGGGAAATCTCCCTGTTGTTCTATAGATAACAGCTGAAACCTAGAGTAAGTCTGTTTGGATCAGAACTTGTGACATTAGGTCATTACCAATCCAGACAGGAATCTGCTACTTACTCTCTACTCACTCTTAAGATTTCACTATCAAGCATTTGTCTAGGGTGTTGGAACATTTGAAAGTTATACATAGAATTGCTTGTGACTTTATAGGGCTCTCTTTTTCTTTAAATCAGATGCTCATAAAAGTTATACTCAACAGTCTAAGACTCCAGAATGTCCATTGGTCAAAATAGATGTTTAATGACATACCAAGTCCATATTTGATTTTATAACCTAGAATAAGCACTTAGAAAATACTCATTTAAAACAAAGTATTTTCTCTGTTCTCAGGTACACATCCTCATTTATTTGCTCCACATTTGAGTGCCTACTATGTAAGCATCAGGTTTCTTTTTGCATTCAGTTTTAGCAGGACTGGATTCATTTTTTGTTCCCCATTATTTTGGGGAAAATCTTTGAAAACATAATTAAAACACAAAATTCCTAAGGCCCCTCCCATGGTCTTGGACAAGTGAGGAGCCCAGAATCTTTAGGATAACGGTAAATTTGTCTCTAGGTTTAGGTGAACCTTATACTGAGACAAAATTTTCTTGGCCTTCATTTCCAAGTAATCTTTTCTTCACCCCAGAATCCCAATGTACAGGTCAGTATGCATTGCTATAGACTGAATGCCTGTCTCACCCAAAAGTCATAGGTTAAAACCTAATTGATGGTTTTAGGAAGTGGAGCCTTTGCTTTGGGAGGTAATTAAGTCATGAGTATAGAGCCCTTACCAGTGGGATTAGTGCCCTAATAAAAGAGACCCAGAGAGCTCTCTAAGCCCTCTTTCTACCATGTGAAGATTTAATCAGAGGTTAGCCTTCTGCAATCTGAGGTTTCTCACCAGAATCAACCATGCCTGGCACCTTGACCTCAGACTTCCAGCCCCAGAACTGTCAGAAGTTCATTGTTTATAAGATACGCAGCCTACCATGCTTTGTTATATTAATGAATAATCACATATAAGTTTGAAATTTCTCTCTTCCAGGCATGACAGCCATAATGCTATCAGCAATGAAAAAGCAACGTTTCTAACAGCTTTTATTTTGAATTACAATTTGAAATCTAAAAATCTTTTTGTATTTCTGATTCTTAAGGTTGGTGGAGATTTACTATTTCTTCATGAAATATATAAGTATACCTCTTAAATTTTTTTTTAATTCTTAGAAACTACAGCAGAACATCAACATTTTCTGGATAGGAGAAAGCTTTTATATTATTTTTATTTTGCAAGAAAATAAATTATACAACTTAAAAAATAAAATTCAAAAATTAAACAGTTCATCAAAATATTTCAGCCTACTGCATACAGAAACTGCTACCATTTAAAATTGTACAGCATTATCATCTCAGTATGTAGTGGCACACATTCAAAATCGTATATACGAGGATAGATTACAACTTAGGAACTCAAATTTGTTCAACACTCCAGACGACATATATAGTGTAGATGACAAGAAAGCTCTCATGTAATGTATTTCACAAACGTGACCTTGGAAGAGTTTCTAAGATAGCATCCCAGTCATTTGCTCGAAAACAGAAAAATCAGCTTGAGTTTAGGAGAGCAAATCTTTCTGGAAAACTAGCAAATCTTTCACCCAAATTGAATTTTTAAAATTTGCCCTTTGAGCAGGGTTAATCCTATTGCAAACAATGCAAAATACTTTTTAACTACTCCGGTCATATTTTGTATTAAATTTAGTAAGAAGTAAAAATAAGAAAGCTAACATTTCATATTTGGAAATCTTAACAGTTATGCACAAAGTAAGAGTAAGAGACTTAAATAAACAGGTTGACAGAATGCAAAGACCCCTCCAATAAATGTAAAAATTGGAAGACTTCAGAGTTTATTTCAAGATCCTCATTAAATCACTGAAACAATAATGTTCTAATATTTATCTCATTTTAAGCATTAAGTGTTCTATATTTTTACTTTGTAAATTCTGTTTCATGTTTACTTAATTCTGGCAATGAGATGACAACAAAGGTTAACATTTTTCAGATGGCTCCATCTTTAAATTAGAAGCTGAGTGTTTGAAGCTTAAATTAACCTCTGAAGCGTCCTGTTGCCATACTACTCATGGCCTAGATTCTTCTCCCTTGTGTCAGGTTTCATCCCTGCTCAGATAGCACTGATTTTATGAGTACATTTGAGAAGAGACCTAGTAAAGTTTACACACCGTGTTCTATACCTTTAGTAAACTGCTTTAAGTCTTTTTTTTCAGATTCTTTTCTTTCAAATTAGCAAATCTACTATCAAAACATATTTAAAGAAAATTCAACAATGGTATAGGCACCTTGTCAACTAAATTTAGGTTTTCATAAACACCAAAAAGTAGTTAGTTTTGTATACATAACAAAAAAAATGATGAAAACTTTAAGTACAGTATTTGCTGTTGTTCAATTCCCCAAAATACAATTAGGACATCATTAACTATTAAAAAATTTATAAAATTTAATAGAAAACTTTGCTATGGTTTTGGAGATACCTACTTTTGCATTAAATTTACCTTTATAAACCAAAACATCATGGCTCTCATTCTTAAATTAAATAACCAAAGAGCTTACAAATGCCAAAAATGTTCTGAGAACAATTATGGTTTACAACAAATCTTACACTTTAAAAACAGTCTGTAACTTTTCCTTCCAGCTTTTCCGCCTTCAGCATTCCTGAATTGGATAAGCAATAAGCCAATACTAAACTATTTGTTAAAGATCACAAATTATTACCAAACTTTACAAAAATTCTAAATGTATCCATTGTTACCAGTCATCTAATTACAGAAAATAGTGAGAACTAATTTAGTTTAATTCTTCACAATAAGGTTGGTCTAGTAATTGACATATACTACCTTAGAGGCTCAAGTATAAGATTTTAATTTAGAAACAAAATCACAATTTATGAGTTTCAAAACAGGCATTTCACTATAACTAGGAAAACCTTACATGTTTAAATTTGCTTTCCTTTTAGCAGGCAGCTCACAAAGCCCCCTGGGATTAGGGACAGACTTCAAAGAACTCTGCAATAATACTGTATGCCTTTCAATGCTCCAGCACTTCATTTCCTACTATTTTCAATACCATAACTTTAAAATATTACTCAATATCAAAACAAGATATAAAATAATTTGCAAGAAAAATTGAAACATGCACCATAATGAATAAAAATCCATATTGAGCCATTCTTTCAACGGGGAATAAGTTTTTCTCTTTTAAGTTGTTCATGTCCTCAAGTCCTAAAATCTCCACTACTCTGGGTATTTAGTTGCCAGCAACTAGTAAGTTGCTACTTTGGATCGACTGAAAGGAACAAGGTTAAGTGTTGCCTTCTGATCATTTAAAAAATGTTTATTTTTAAAATATATAAATATATATGTACATCTATTTGGCAAATTCACTGCTCATATTAAGACTGCAACAATTTTGCTTATGCTTTTCAGGTTTTATGTTGTGGTGACTCGATACTTAATTATTACTTTTTAAAACAGAATGTCTTTCCAAAAACCTGAAGCTAAAAAACCCTAATCATGAGACTTTAAAATATCAAAACATTTCTATGCTACAGATTAAGAGATCAGTTACATAACTGTATTATATGAGAGCAGAAGTTTTTTGTTTTGTTTTTAATAAATTTGGATATGGCATAATAAATATTAGGTATATAAATACTAAGATATTTGGAAATCTTAACAGTTATGCACAAAGTAAGAGTAAGAGACTTAAATAAACAGGTTGACAGAATGCAAAGACCCCTCCAATAAATGTAAAAATTGGAAGACTTCAGAGTTTATTTCAAGATCCTCATTAAATCACTGAAACAATAATGTTCTAATATTTATCTCATTTTAAGCATTAAGTGTTCTATATTTTTACTTTGTAAATTCTGTTTCATGTTTACTTAATTCTGGCAATGAGATGACAACAAAGGTTAACATTTTTCAGATGGCTCCATCTTTAAATTAGAAGCTGAGTGTTTGAAGCTTAAATTAACCTCTGAAGCGTCCTGTTGCCATACTACTCATGGCCTAGATTCTTCTCCCTTGTGTCAGGTTTCATCCCTGCTCAGATAGCACTGATTTTATGAGTACATTTGAGAAGAGACCTAGTAAAGTTTACACACCGTGTTCTATACCTTTAGTAAACTGCTTTAAGTCTTTTTTTTCAGATTCTTTTCTTTCAAATTAGCAAATCTACTATCAAAACATATTTAAAGAAAATTCAACAATGGTATAGGCACCTTGTCAACTAAATTTAGGTTTTCATAAACACCAAAAAGTAGTTAGTTTTGTATACATAACAAAAAAAATGATGAAAACTTTAAGTACAGTATTTGCTGTTGTTCAATTCCCCAAAATACAATTAGGACATCATTAACTATTAAAAAATTTATAAAATTTAATAGAAAACTTTGCTATGGTTTTGGAGATACCTACTTTTGCATTAAATTTACCTTTATAAACCAAAACATCATGGCTCTCATTCTTAAATTAAATAACCAAAGAGCTTACAAATGCCAAAAATGTTCTGAGAACAATTATGGTTTACAACAAATCTTACACTTTAAAAACAGTCTGTAACTTTTCCTTCCAGCTTTTCCGCCTTCAGCATTCCTGAATTGGATAAGCAATAAGCCAATACTAAACTATTTGTTAAAGATCACAAATTATTACCAAACTTTACAAAAATTCTAAATGTATCCATTGTTACCAGTCATCTAATTACAGAAAATAGTGAGAACTAATTTAGTTTAATTCTTCACAATAAGGTTGGTCTAGTAATTGACATATACTACCTTAGAGGCTCAAGTATAAGATTTTAATTTAGAAACAAAATCACAATTTATGAGTTTCAAAACAGGCATTTCACTATAACTAGGAAAACCTTACATGTTTAAATTTGCTTTCCTTTTAGCAGGCAGCTCACAAAGCCCCCTGGGATTAGGGACAGACTTCAAAGAACTCTGCAATAATACTGTATGCCTTTCAATGCTCCAGCACTTCATTTCCTACTATTTTCAATACCATAACTTTAAAATATTACTCAATATCAAAACAAGATATAAAATAATTTGCAAGAAAAATTGAAACATGCACCATAATGAATAAAAATCCATATTGAGCCATTCTTTCAACGGGGAATAAGTTTTTCTCTTTTAAGTTGTTCATGTCCTCAAGTCCTAAAATCTCCACTACTCTGGGTATTTAGTTGCCAGCAACTAGTAAGTTGCTACTTTGGATCGACTGAAAGGAACAAGGTTAAGTGTTGCCTTCTGATCATTTAAAAAATGTTTATTTTTAAAATATATAAATATATATGTACATCTATTTGGCAAATTCACTGCTCATATTAAGACTGCAACAATTTTGCTTATGCTTTTCAGGTTTTATGTTGTGGTGACTCGATACTTAATTATTACTTTTTAAAACAGAATGTCTTTCCAAAAACCTGAGGCTAAAAAACCCTAATCATGAGACTTTAAAATATCAAAACATTTCTATGCTACAGATTAAGAGATCAGTTACATAACTGTATTATATGAGAGCAGAAGTTTTTTGTTTTGTTTTTAATAAATTTGGATATGGCATAATAAATATTAGGTATATAAATACTAAGTGTTCAATATTTAATGTTTAATATTAACACTTAATATGTTTGTTGCTATTTTGACTCTGCAATTAAAATTACCTAACTCCATACTTTTTTTTTTAAACAACTGAAGCAACAATTAATAAAGCTTCCCTTTTCCAAACCAAGCTATCTAGTCATTTAAAATAAAGTCTTCATCATTTAATAACACACAACTAAAATAACAGTGTTTTGCTTAAAGCCAACATCTGTTAAGTTGAAAAATTTAATGCCATCTTTAGGTCACCATAAAACTAGTTAATGTACTGAAGCAGTGTCTGAACCAGTAATTTGATACTATTAAATACTTATCTTCTCACCTACATCTGCCCTTTCCCCATGTTGTGTTGACCAGCTCACTCTTTTGATCAAAAGAAACCAAGAGTGCTATTTCTAGTTTTAATCACATTTTAAAAAACAAAATAAAACAGCAGTTTTCAGTACACCAATATCTGAAGCTCCTTCCTTGTGCAGTACATTTTTGTGAGAGGAAAAAAGGAAAAAAGCAACAAGAACCCTGCCCTGACCCTTCCCAAGTGTATTTCTTCTGGTGGGTAGAAATCAAATTTACTTTTAAAAGTTTATAACGGGCTCTTCATGAATGCAAGATTCTCCACAAAACAGCATGCTGTTAAAGAGTGTGCAACATGAAGGGAATGCCATCATGCTAACTAATGTGACTGGCAAAATATAGTTGTTTTGTTAGGTAAGGCAGAGATTTTAATATTTATGTAATCAAAGTCCAAATAAACCTTCCTCCAGCACAAACTGTTATACAACTTTCTGCCCATGCACTCCAAAATTCGGGTTCTTAATATTATCCATGATATTCAAAAATTATGCCATATATATGAATGTGTTGATATCAGATTCATCTCTTCTGATGTATTTGTGCTCTATTAGCCATTCTATTTGCTCTTTTATCATTTTCTTTTGTGGCAAGAACATGTTTTTCAAAATTTCTACTAATTCAGTCTGCAGCTGAGCATTACTAATTTTCTTTCTCATCTTCATTATTTGTATGATAGCTTCCTAAAAGAAAAATAAAAATGAAACAACATTAATACATTCAATTAAGTAAGACAAAATGAAAAATTACTTTTTATGTATTCCATCCTTTGTCCACCATATATCCACATGATTAGCATCACTAGGAGATTAACTTTGGGACCAGTATCTTTTACCTAACAAATAAAAATATCTTTTTTCACTCACTGTAAAAGAAAATCTACTAAATATAGAGATTTTGAAAAATGAGGAAAAGCAAAATTACCCATAACCTCTTTGCTGAAAGAAAACCACACCTAATGTTTTTGGTATACTTCCTTTCATTTCTTTTTTCTATATAATGCAAATATAGAAAATTTACCATACCTGGGAACCCAACATATATGTAATCTGGTTTTGTATTTAACATCAAAAGATACAACAAACCCCTTAGTGTACTTTTTCCCTTGTATTCAGAGTTATTTCTTTGTCTAGTAGTAGAGGCCAGTTGGTGTCTATTTTTAAAAATCAATAAATACTATTCTTCATATATTTATCAGATCAATAATTATATTTGTTATAAATATTATCTACAGTTTGTATTGATTCAATTAAATGTTTTAACTTTCTACAGGAGTAATAATAAGCATTTTTTATCTAAGTCAATTTTATCATTATTTTCTTTGATTTCTTTAATTACTATTAAGTGTATAGTAAGCATAATTAGAAAATTATTAAATATTTTTCCTCTTCTGCCTTTTCTATAAGCTCTCTCCTTAGTCAACAAAAAGCTATCTGCCTTAGTAGAGATTTAGAATTCACTGTAAAAGAAATGTGAAAACAGAAAATGTGGTGATATTTGTTTTTAACATTCAAAATGGAGTTTTGCAGCAAAGCAATAAAAGGTTTGGAAGTTAGGCACCACTCAGCAAGAGGAAAGTACCTTCAACTTCCCTATATGAACACGAGGATTCCTTCACTGTCACTAGGAGGTCAGGTGAATCCCTCTCATTCTCAATATATCCAGGTGCCAGGATCTTGAGCACAGGGTTTATGTCAAGGTTTCAGATAGAAAGAAGGAAGAGGGAAAGTCTGTTCCTTCAGACACTTGGAGATTACAGGTACCAGGGAGAAGGAGGAGGAACAACTGTAAATGTCCCAGTTTTCCTCTCCTGGATTTGGCAGAGGTGATGATGGTGGTTGCATTAGAGAAGTTCAGAGGAAAACTGTGAGCACAGGGCTCTGGGCCTGAACCCCATTTAATATGTTGGAGGTCAGCTGAGAGTGGCATGTAATGACAGAAATAATCTGCACTCCTGTATCTCAGTTCCCACATGACAGAGTTTAAAGGTGACAGACCTGACCCAGGGCCTTTAGTGGAAGGAGAGAAAATCCTGCAGCGGCAGCAGATAATGACAGTGTGCCATGTAGGCCAAGGAGTGGCACAGAAAATGTGAGTCTCACGGGGATCAAGAGCTCAGTAAGAATGGCAGATGGCAGTCAGAGCAGAGGCCATGTGGAAAAGAATAAACCATAGTCCACCTGCTACAGACATCAGCAGTAGATAGTAACAGAAAGTCAAATTCCCATAGATGACAGAGAAAGAAAGCACTCCACAGCTGCCAAGTGCAAGAACCCAGGACACTGTCATAACCGTAAGATATGATGACCCCTTCACTGTCACTATGAGGTCAGGTGCGTTCCGCACCCAAAATACATCCAGATGCCGTCTGCGAACACAGCAAAGAATGGGGAGGGTGGAGTAGGAACAGGTACAAATTAAGAAAGTCAGAGCATTACCTAAAGGGCCAGCTTGGATTGCTGGACTGGGCATAATTTATGTATCAGTTTAAGATAAAATTAAAAAATTAATTTTCTCTACACATCTTACAGTATGACTGTATGTACCATCACATTACACATCTCAACTCCGATTCATGTGGAATTTATCCTGCTGGAGCCATAAACTAGGAATATATCCTGATTTTCCTCCCAAAAAGTAAAATTTCCCAAAACCTCTTATTGAACAATCATTCCCTTTCCATGGGCTACGGACATTATTTCCTTTTTTGCAAAGTTCATCTATATTTATATAGTAGGTTTAATTCTGAGTTATTTTCTTCAATTAATCTGCCTCTTATACTGTTTTACTTTCATAAATATTTTAAGAACTTTCAGTATTTGGCAAGCAAGTTCTACTGCTACCAACATCAACACCTTATTATTTTTTTTTAAGGTTCCGACTACTCTCATCTATTTATTCTTTCTGATAAAACTGATAATAAGTTAGTAAAATCCCAAAAATATTCCTAGTTGAATTTTTATGAAATTCAGTAAACTTGTTACTAATATGGGAAATTCAGTAAACTTGGTACTAATATTGGAAAAATCAACTTGTTAGGTTTTTCAGGCTTATCATGTTGAGCAACAGAGCCAAACACAAAGAGGACATATACCATCTGATTCCTTTTGTATGAAGACCTGAAATACGTAAAACTAAACAATGGTGGCAGGATCAGATGGGCCAGAGAGGGGAGACTGGTGATGGGAGTCGTGGGGTAATTACTGGATGGATAGAAATGCTCTTTATCTTAACCGAGGTGATGGTCAAACAGATATATATATTTATCAAAGCTCAATGAAAACTATAGTTTGAAATGTAATTGTATGTAAAATATACCACAAAAAAAATTTTAGCAAGAAAAAAAGAGCATGATCATTTTATTTATTCAAATCTCCTTTTGAATCTCTCAGTAAAGAGCCACTCTCTTCATGTAAGTCCTGCTCATTACTTTTATAAGAAATGCCTATGAATTCTATGGTTTATTCTTTTATTTTTCTAAGTTTTTCTTAGTTTATTTGTTTGTTGCTAAACAGAGAAGCAATTGATTTTTATTTATTCATCTTTGCTATTTGATATTATATGATCTGTAAGTAATGAAAAACTTTAATCTTTTCCTCTTTATTGTTTCATCTTGTATTGGCCAGTAGTTTAAAACATAAAATAAAAAGAGAAAAAGTGGAACACTTGGTTTTAACAAGACTATAGTTAAAGTCAGTCATACATTAGTTTGCCATAGGTATTCTTTATCATATTCAAAAAAATCATAATCCTACTTTAAAATGTTCTAAAAAGGGGTCCCTAATATCACATTACAATGGAATTAGAAGTCTTAAATAAAATTTTAAATACTTCAAACCTAGAATTGTAACTTGTTGCTAAGATACATTTTTTCAGGTGGGGTTAAAGGTAGTCATAACCCCAAATCAAGGATTTACCCAACCAGTATTATCCACCAGAAGCCACCAAGCCATACAGACATTTCTCTCAGTAGCTAAGAGAATGCCATCAGAGTAATTTTTAAATTCCAGTAAAATGAAAAAGCATTCCTACATGCTTTTAAACTTAAAAAAAAAAAAAAAGGTTTCAAGAATAAAACAAAAAGCAAACCAGATTTTCAAACAAAAAAAACATTCTGTCTTAACATTACAAACCTGGGTTCTTAGTATTCTTAGTTGGACTATTCCTTCGTTTTCTTCTTCTCTCATCCTTTCTGTAGTGAGCTGCAAGCGTCCAATCAAGTTGATTTTACCCCTTTTCTGAACTTTTGCATTTTTTCTATAAAAAAAGTCAAGTCAGTGTTTTATAGTCAAAGGGCTTTTAAACATATTGTAGCAAAAATATCCAACAGAAAAGGTTTTTAGAAATATTCTAAATATTAATATACATAACTGTTTAACAGAGAAGTAACAAATAACCAACATACAGCTTTATTTAAAATGAACTCTAAGACTTATGATGTGTCTGCATCCCAGGATCCTTAAGAGTATGGCAAAATAATAATTTTAAAAGCTGAAAAAAAAGAACCCTATGATTTCTTTCAAACACAATAAAAGCTCTGTTAATAAAAAATGGGTGACTACACTCCCAGTAATAACAAAGTTAATATAATTTATATTACCACAAAATGAACATATGTGGGTCATTAATTCAGCATTATCTTCTAATTGCATCTTCAGAAAAAAATGCTTTGTTATGGATAAAGCTGCTTTAGAGTGCAAAGAATGTTTATTATTATTTTTAATTGAAGTATCACTGATATACACTCTTAGTTTCAAGTATACAACACAGTGGCTCAACAGTTGGATACATATTATTAAATCATCACCCCAATTAGTGCAGTTATCATACTGTCAACATAGGAAGATGTGACAGAATCACTGGGTATATTTTCCATGCTGTACTACCATCCCTGTGACCAACTTGTATTATGATTGAGAACTTTTGTGCCCCTTTATACTCCCCATCTACCCATCCCAACACCCCTGACCCCCAACCACCAGTCATTTCTCAGTGTCTATGAATCTACTGTTTTGTTTTGTTGTGTTTTTAATTCCACAAGTAAGTGAAATCATATGGTATTTGTCTTTCTTTGCCCAGCTTATTTCACTGAGCATATGAAAAATATATAAACATCTCTAGCTCAATATTTTAATAGACAACAAAATGGTATAAATCTAAAGTGATGATACTATACAGATATGCTTAAATATCATGTAAGGAAAATAATTACTTTGCTAAAAATAAAGCTTTAAAATTCAAACAAGGTATTTTTATTTTAGATCAACCAACATAAACCTTACATTAAACTGAACTCCTGGTTCACTGAGAAGAGGGTACCTTCTGTAAAGTCTTTGGGTGAGTTGACTTGAGGTTCATACAATAGAACTTGCCGTTTGAGCTTTGGGAAAGCTACTAAAGACTAAGAAGAACAGAGAGAAAACAATTAGCAGCTATAAACAGTATGGAATATTAAGATCGATTTTTTTACATGGCCAACACAGGTGAGAAAGTTTTATTAGCACAAATTCAGAATTCAAACATTTATTTGGTACCTCCATGAATATAACAATGTAAATGCATAATGAGGAAAAAGAGATTGGTTGTAAGTGACCACAACAAAAGCGACCTGCCAGTTATGTACCAGCTATTTCTCTTCTAGGTAGTAATTTATTCTGGAGCTTTTAAGAGATCTGTGGAGTAAGGGAAAAACGTAGCTCAATGAACAAGAGGCCAATGAATACATTTCACACAAGCCCCCAAAAGGTCAAAAAGTTTTCTTAGACTTTTGGTCATCATAAAATCTTGGAACACATTTTCAGTAGGAAATCTCTGGTCACACTCATATTTAAATACCAACTCAATCTTTCTGTCTTTCTGACTTCCTCCATTTTAGTAACTGGCTTACTTTCAATTTCTTTTCTTCCCACAAATACCTCATTGGTGTATTTTTCTTGGTTAAAAGTATGTTTCAAAGTGTTACGTATTCATAAATTTATTACAGCATTTTTCCTATGTGCTGGATACAATTTTGAAAACAAAAGGCATAAACAAACCCATAAAGTCCTTCTAAGCTCAGCATCAGGGAGTTCAGTTGCAAGTTTCAGATTCTCAAAGCTGATTTTCTCTCTAGGTCTTTGGTTCCATGCAAATAACACAGCCAGCTGAAACGTTGTTACCTCTAGATCATACTGACCTACTTCATTCTTAAATGTTATCTATAATAGAAAAGGTAATTAAAAAAAAATAAGAATCTCTTCATGATGATTATCTACTATAGTATCTCTATAGTATTTTAATAAGCATGAAAAACCTATAAATTGATACTGTATTTTCATAAAACATTCCCTATTTCTTCAACAATAACAGCAGAACAATGTATTATTTAAGCATACTTATAAACCATGTGCTGTAGTAGGAAAACCAAATATTAAGTACATAAGATTATATATTAAGATTGCTAGTTGTTTTCCAATATTCATTCTTCCTTTCTACACAGAAACAAAAATTTTAGCAGACCTTAATGACTATCCAAAATAAAGGCTCATATCCCAGCTTTCCCTGGAGCAAAATGTGTCCATGTGACTGAGTTCTGGCCAATGAGATTGTGAGCAGAAATGATGGGTGAAACTTCAAAAACTTAAATAATGTATACCCTCACCTTTCCATTCCTGTTGGGTTGGAAGACAGACACAGTGGGAACCATATTAGATTCTGCAGACAAAGGCAATACTTTAAGGATGGTGATATAACCAGAAGCCTTTGTCCCTAACACGGAGAAAGTTCACTGGGATCCACTATACCTGCTCAAACTTTTACATGTGAGAGAAGCAAAGATCTATTTTTTTGAAGCAACTCTTACTTGGAGTCCTGGTACTTTTAGCCAAACCAGTATCTGAACTAACACACCATCTACTTACAATTCCATTTGACATGAGATGATGCCAATGTAATTTTCTACCACTATGATTTTTTTTATAAAATTCTTCCACTTCAGGTATCAAATCTTCCAGTTCAGTAGGAAGTGAGACAAAGACTTTCTCAGAACTTCTTGACCATGCACCAGCATTTAGAATTTTTATATTAACCGAATCAGCTATAGATAAGAATATCAGAAAAAAATAAAGTAAATAATCTTGACAATGCATAGATAAAAGCATTCAATAAGTACATATACACATACAGGGTAAGCTTTGGTGAAAGATAAGACTAGATTTTTTTAACAGAGGTTCATTTATTGTTGCAGTTCGAAATGTATGAAAAATTAGAATATAACCCAAGACTCTAAAGATTTTATTAAAAGTATCTTTTTGTTTCAAAATAAGGAGCAGCAAATCTAAATTTTGCTTTGCAGATGTCTTCAGGGAATGTGGACTTTGTAACATCTTTCTATCTATTACTGCTAAAGCTTTTGATTTTCTGGAAAACAACGATACTCTTTTAAAAAGTTAAAGAAAAAACAATCATAAAATAATACCTGGTAAAGCCAATTTATTATTTTTGTGCATTTCCTTAAAAGCTTGGTTCAAATCTTCAGATACTTTTATGTCCTGAAACATTCTAGCAAGCTTGTTTACATAATCTGCTGGCATACCAACTTCCTATGAAAACCAAGGACAGAAAAGATAATGAACACTATATAATCTGATATATACTATTAGGAAAAAATTTAATGGAAAACCAAGTTTTAGATGCTTTAACACAAAATTCTTCTTCTCTTATTGATTGATTAGAATGTTTGTAGTCTAATGCCTATTAAATTTGATTCTTGGAAACTAAAAAGGATAGTATAGGCAATTCAGGCTTTCTTTGCATGATTCCAATATGCATGAATTTCAGTGACCACAATATAGTTAAATAACACCAGTCCTCCAACCTACAGTTCAACTTTCAGTTACCACTACATGTTAAATGTAAGTAATGCATAAAGCACAAATTTCACTTCTCAGTGATCAATTGCAATACTTTTCAAAATCTGTGAGTCATCTGTTCTCAGTTCACACACAGCAAAGCATGAAGTTTGGTTGCATCCTCATCTTCCAATGATAAATCTACATGACATTTTATAAAAATAGATAATCAAAAGAGGTAATTTGCCAATAAAGATAATCAAAGTTCACCAAAGAAATGAAAATGAAATGGAACATGAATGAGGTTATAGAACAAAGAGTTGACTGGTTGCAATGTTGATACTGCCAATGTCTAAGAACAACTATGCAGGCATAGGTGCTTACTAGTGAAAGTAAATTATTAACATAAATGAGAAAAGTGGTAGTGACAAAAAAGATAAGATACACCAGGGGAAGTGATGCCAGCAAAAACTTTCATGACACTTAAAGTTCCAAAAACAAAAGGCTGGAAGCTGATCCAAACTTTTATGACAGTTCTTTAATTGGCACACAAAAAAATGCTTAGTCTGTATTTTAAGTTACATGACAACAAGGCAAGTGCTAGTCAAACTACTCTTTATTTTAATAACAGCTTTACTGAGATATAGTTAATTTTTCACAAAATTCACACTTTAAAAATGTACAACTAGGTGGATTTTAGTATATTTACAAAGTTAGGCAACCATTACCACTATCTACTTTAGAACATTTCATCACCCCAAAAAGAAACTCCATAGTTACTAGCAGTCACTCCCCATTTTCCCTCCTCGCACCCAGCTCTCCTGGAAATGACTAATTTACTTTCTGTCTGTGGGATATGGCTATTGTGTACATTTTATACTAGTGGAATTATGCAGTATGTGGTCTTTTGTGACTGGCTTCTTTCACTTAGCATAATGTTTCCAAAGTTCATCCATGTTGTAACTTATACCAGTAATTCATTTCATTTTATTGCTAAATAATATTCCATTGAAAGGACAGATCACATTTGTTGTCCACTCATCAGCTGATCAACATTTTGGGTTGTTTTCACTTTTTGACTATCATTAATAATGCTGCTATGAACATTCATGTACAAGTTTCAGTATGGACGTGTTTTCATTTCTCTTGAGTGGAATTACCTATGAGTAGAATTGCTGGGTCACACTCTATGTTCAACTTTCTGAGGAACTGGCAGTTTTCCAAAGTGCTGCACCATTTTATATTCTCATCAGCAATGCATGAGGGTTCTAATTTCTTCTCTTCTTTGTCAACATTTGTTACTGTCTGTCTTTTTTATTTCAGCTATCCTAGTGGGAGTGAAGTAGTATCTTGTTGTGGTTTTCATTTGCATTTCCCTAATGACTAATGATGATCTTTGCATATTTATTGATTATTTGCATATCTTATGTGAAGAAATGTCTACTGTAATCCTTTGCCCATTTTAAACGAGTTGTCTTTTTACTGTTTAGTTTTTTATATAATCTCTATATAATACCAGACATATGAAGTGCAAGTATTTCCCTTACTACTCTTATTTACAAACTAAAACACTTCAATTCTGAAGGTTTCTTATGTTTTAAGTTAGTGTACTAAATACATATTAATTTTAATTTTTTCTTTTTCCTGTATAAGTTTTTAATGCTTTAAGAAAATTTCTAAAAGTCACAAAATAATCTTTCCCACTGTTTCAGTCTGCACTGTATTTTTACTATCCCACACTACCACGCACATCAGAGCTATCTGATAAACCTGTAATTTGAAATATATGTAAATGAAAATAAATATGCATAATACATAATATATACACAATTATATACACATTATATGTAATTTCATTACTATGTTTTATGTTATATATGACAATACCATATATATAAATGAAAGACATTTGTTTTAATATAACAAAAACTTCCATTGAAATGAACTGGAAGGAATGGGAGTTAAAATATTATACATAATTTCATACAATATTTTAATATATTATGTATGATAATACCATGTATATAAATGAAAGACATACTTGTTTTACTATAACTCAAAATTGAAAGGAACAGACTTATAATATTTTGGTATGGGAATTTACTCATAATTAGCCCTGGTTACTTTAAATAAGCCATCAACTTGTACATATTGGTTCTTCTTGCTACACAGAAGTATTTACTTACAAACATCCCTGGAGTTAATTAAGCATTTAGAGTTTTTGAAACACCTTAAAAATGGAATGACTTGTCCTGTAGCATATTTAATTTCAGTACAAATCAGAGTGGAGATAATGAAAAAATGAAAAAGCAGAAGCAAAGCAAAAGTGCTTTACTAAAAAGTCTTTATTAATACACTTTATTAGATATCACTTTATTTTATATAAATTGATACTGTATTTTCATAAAACGTTCCCTCTTTCTTCAACAATAACAGCACCAGAAAGTATTATTTAAGCCTATTTGTAAACCATGTGCTGTATTAGGAAAACCAAATATAAAAAAAAAAGTACTTACTCTTAGCCACTCTACCATATTCTCTTCAATTTCACTATCAGCAGAGATGTCTAATATAAGACGACGTGTCAAATGAGCTTTGTGATACCTCATAAAAACGTCTTTGTTTTGCACATATTTAAGTACCAAGAGCTGTACAGAAAACAAAATTACTTTCAATTCATATATATTCTTAGCCATCTCTCATTTATCCTCCCTTTCTATATTCCCCAGCTGTCAAAATTTGGAAATTCATATAAGTATGTACAGATAGAGGCCTACTAAATGTGCATCTCTGAAAAATAACCAGTCTTGATATACTACTTTACTGCTTTAACCAAATAACCTTTTAGTTCCTACAGACATCAATTTTTCAGATTTTATATAAAATGTGATAAAACTTCACATGAAATACAATGGTTCTTCCTGAATTTTTTCTTCCCCACATCTTTGCTTTTTTCTGATACTAATCTTCTTTTTAGATCTTCCTGTCTATACTTTATAATTTTACCTGCTTTTTTACCCCCTTTGTATATGGGCTCATATCATATGCTAACAACCAGGAGACAAATAAAGATGAAAGCAACTAACTCTTTCCATACATTCACTCATCCTTAGTTATTTATTTGGGGCTCTTACAAAACGAAAGAAGTGAACAACTGCCAGTCTCTCAACTATTGTTTCAAACATTATCAGCTCCATTTCCCCTTTTTTGTCCTTTAAGGGGAACTAGAATTTAATTCCTTAAAAATAATCAAGAAGGGGGAAGAATTAAATGTGATTTCCCTTTCTGGCAGCTACAGGATAAACATTTTCAGGAAAAAAAAATAACTGCCCTGTAGAGAATCTGCACTGTAAAATTTCATAATACTAGTTGCTTATAGACATACATTTTTAAAAATTGATGTTCCCACAGAATAAGCAAAATACAAATTCAAATAAAGTAATTAACATTAAAAAAATTATACCACTTCTTTAAGCTTTGCTTCAATCTCTTCAGAGGTTAGTTTTTTGCTTAATGGTGTTTTTCTTAGCAACATGTCACAGTAATTAGCAAGTAGCTCAGGGCATTTTGATTCAGGCTGAGTTTTTAATCCCACCCTAAAAACAAAAGCAGTTGAAGAAAAATGACTGGTATCGCAAATATTTTTTTTTTTAAGCCAATTTTTCACAAACCTCTTCTGTTGTATAAATCCAGTGATCAAGGCTGGGACTAGGGTGAGTAAGAAGACACCTAAGATGCATAATTTAAGGGGCAGTCACCTGCAGGATGCTGAGAGAGAGAGAGACCTCCTTAAATTTTGTACTTGAGGTGCCTCCTTGCCTAAGGCTAGTGGTGGTCTTGCCAATGATCTTTAAAGGATTTTATTCAGAAACGTGTTAAAATACCTTTGAAAACCTGTGTAAATCTTTGCATATTTGTCACTTAACATTTAAAAATTTTCATGATTCATGTTAAGATAAAACTGCTACTTCATTCTTCAAAATATATCCACTGTAACCTAAACTCCATAGTGTTGTGATATTTATCATCATCCATTTAAAAAAACTATAACCGAACTTTAACAGTGAAGAACTTGTAGCTCTACTTCACTTTCCCAGCCATACTTTAAAACCAGTATTGTATTGTTATGCTTGTAAGTCTTGTATTTATTCTTTATCCTACTTCTCTAAACTATATGTGTACATAAATTTAAATTCAACATTTAAAAATTTCATGGGTATGTAAAATTCAAGTGTTATTTTCTCCCAGTTGAATTACACAAATTACAGGTACACAACTTACCAAAATAATATAACTACATTGTGTATGTATAAAACATATGCATCTGTGATATTATACTGCATGTATCAACTCTTAATGAGTTAGATGAAACTTTTTTCACCCCATTTTGAATCTAGGAATCAAACCACGATTTTATTTCTACTTTTTATTTTTATGTATTTATGTCTTAGCCCTCAATAATTTTATTAACATCAGTAAGTAGATGGGACGGGAAGAAGTTTTCCTTACTATGTTAATTCATTGAGCACTTCCCTATTTGCTAAAACAAAAACAAAAAACATACTAATGTAAAAATAAGTTATTTTCCTTAAAAATATCCACACTGGTGTACTCCAGTAAAGTCTGTATCTCTTAAGGTAGACATATGCCAGTGTGAGCACCATTAACTTACATAAGAATCTATCCATCTCTTCCAGCTATTTGCACTGTCAGTGCCTAGCTCCCGCATGAACTACTGTAATAACTGCAGTGGTCTATCTCTTCCTCCAGTTCAACCTGTTGAGAAGACAGCTCTAAGTCTCTTACTGTTGTTTTTTTTTAATTAGTATGTCATTTCTCCCAACTTTGGCTGTTAAACAGTTTAGTTTAGTTTAGTTTTTAATGTTCAGCTATTTAATTATGATGAACCTGGGAATTTGTATTTATCCTGCTTGGGACTCAAAGAGATGCTTGAATTTGAGAGTTAACATTTTTCATCAATTTTGGAAAACTTTGGTCAATAGCTCTTCAAACACTGCTATGACCCCTTTTTGGTCTTCTATGATAAATTTTTGTTTGTCCATTAATATGTATTATTTACTCATTATCTGTTTAAACTTATTATTACTGAGATAGAATTCGCTATCATTCAAAGTATGCAATTCAATGTTTTTAAAGTATATGCATTAGGTTGTACAACCATCACCATAGTAAAATTTTAAAACATTTTCATTAGCCCTCCCCTTAGCCATCCCCGCCCAAAACCTTGCCCCAACAAACCCATACTCATTAGCAGCAAAATCCCATTCTTCAGCTATCCCTCCCTTCCACCACCTCCTGGCTACTTGTTGTCTCTATGGACTTTCTTACTCTGGACACCTCATATAAATGGAATTGTACAATATATGACATTTTGTGACTGATTTACTTAGTGTAATATTTTTAAGATTCATCCATTTTATAGCATGAATCAGTAGTTCATTCCTTTTTAAAAGTATTTTTATCATGGTAAAAAAGATTTACTGTTTTAACCATTTTTAAGTGCTTAATTCAGCGATACTAAGTACATTCACAATGTTCTCCAAATACTATCTCCATCTATGTCCAGAATTTTTCAATATCCTAAACACAAATCCTATATCCATTTAGCAGTAACTTCTCATTTCTCTTCATCCCCAGTCCCTGGTAACATCTATTCTACTTTTTCTATCAATGAATCTGACTATTCTAGGTACCTCACATAAGTGGAGTCACGTAAAATCTGTCCTTTCATGTCTGGTTTAGCACAATATTCTCAACATATCATTCATGTAGTAGCATTATAAGGATCTCATTCCTTTTTATGACTAAATAATATTCCATTGCATCAATATACCACATTTTGCTTATCCATTCATCAGATAAAGACATTTGGGTTGGTTTCCTCTTTTGGCTATTTAGAATAATGCTGCTATGGCACATTCATGTACAAATTTATGGGTAGATGCATGTTTTCATACCTCTTGGGCATTTACCCAGGAATGGAACTGCTGGAATATATGGTAATTCTGTTTAACTTCTTGAAGAACTACCAAACTGTTCCCAAAATAGCTGCATACCAACTATGTATGATTCCAATCTCTCCACATTCTCACCATACTTGTTAATTTTAACATTAAAAATTTTTAGCCATCTTAGTGGGTCATAGTGGTATATCACTATGGTTAAGCTATTTATCTTAATTATTTTAAAGTCCTTATCTGCTAACCAATATTGGGATCATCAGAGTCTGCTTCTAAAATGATTCTTCTCTTAGTTGATCCTATGTTTCTCTGCCTTCACAGGACTAGTAATGTTGTATTGAATACTGGGCACTGCATTTAAAGAATCAGGGAGGCACCACATGACATCACCTTCCATGAGTAGTGGGTCCGCCCACTGTCCTATGAAGCGGCTGATTACATGGATCCAATCAGGAACTGAAGTGTTTTGAGGCTGGGCTGCAGTTTGGTTATAATTATCAGTCTGCCTCTTGTTAGTCACTGATTCTAAGGAATGTCCCTCCTGGGCTTTCAACTGAGAACCTGGTGATTTTGTCATTCCAGTCCCATGGGTGTTCACCAAAAACTGTACTGTCCCCTGGCAGTATTGTGCAGCCTGGGTCAAACCTAGATTTTCAGCTGCTTCTTTTCAGGAAAACACAGCTACAAATAAATCCTCAACTAACCTTTGAGAAGTTCTCTCTCATTTCTGTAAGTTTCAAATCTTCTGTACTAGTTGCTTCTGTAACTGTCTGTTAACATTAAAATTAGTATTTTCTAAGTTTACCTGATTTTTCTGGTTGTTCTCAATGGAAACAACGGCCTACCATGAACCATTTCTTTCTTCCTCAAAACTGAGTCTCCCAAATAACCTGGATGCTACTAGCAGCTTTATTCTTCTAGAATTATCACCTATACCACCTTGAATAATTACAACACCCATGTTCTGCTGCCTGGGTCAGCTAATAATAGTTTTATTCCATGGGAATTTTCTACTTTAATCTGGAGATAAAGGTGGGACATAATGATCTCTTTAGAATGAGAAAATACAGAGAAAGCCAACAATCCCCACTTCTGCTAGAATGTAGAAACACTTTCACACACACATTAAATGACAAACATACAACACTGATCTCTGTAGCACTATTAGTGATGGCAAAATATCAGAAACTACTGAGTGCAGCAATAAAAGGATCAATAAACTATATTTACCACCTATTAGAGAGAATGCCATGCTGTTATTAAGAATGAATTTATAAAAAACCCACAGCTAACATACTTAATGGTGAAAGACTTGAGAGTATTCTCCCTAAAATCAGGAACAAGACCAGGAAGTCCACTTTCACCACTGCTGTTCATCATTACACTAGGGGTTCTAGTTAGAAAACTTAGGCAAGAAAAAGAAACAAAAGGTTTCCAAATTGGAAACAAAGAAGTAAAATTATCTCTATTGCCAATGTTATGATCTTGTATATACAGAGTATGAGTTTACAAAAAAGATATTAGACCTAGCAAATGCATTTAGCAAAGTTGAAGGGTATGAGATCAACACACAGGAATCAATTGTGTTTTTATATACAGCAATGAACAATCCAAAAGGAAATTAATAAAATTCCATTTCCTATAGGATCCAAAAGAAAAAAAATACCTAGGAAAAAATTTAGTCAAGGATGTGGAAGCCCAAGCAGAGTGAAAGGACCATCCATGCAGAGCTGCACCCTGCAGGTGCCAGAGCCTAGGCTGGCTGAGGTAGACACTGTAAAAAGGCCAATCATCAGGTGTCAAAACCTGAACACATGAGAGGTGTACTGACATAGAGGAGTGGCCAGGTGTATGAGATGGAGTATGAGAGACCAACTCGATAAAGAGGGTGTCCATGCAAGGGGTGGTGCTAAGGTGCCAGTATTATGAGGATACTTGCCGCACTGAGCAGTTTCTGATATTTTGCTATCGCTAATAGTGGTGCTCCAAAGATAAATGTTGTCCATTTGTCATTTTATATGGGAGAAAGTGTTACTACAGTCTAGATTCCCAGAAGTGAGGATTGGTGGGGCGGTCCAATCAGGAACGCATCCATGATGAAATGAGGCCAGGCACTACACCTGTAAATGTGTATGTGTATTTCTAAGTTTTCCACCTAGAAGACCTGGGAACAGTGACATCCCAATAGCAATGAACACACCTGACATCAGATCTTGTCCACTAAGTATCATCATCCACTGAAAGGAACTAGGTCTTCAGAAGAAAAAAAAGGCTGATTCTTAGACTAGGGAAGTCAAAGTACAACATGAATCTGGAAATTGGGCCAAAAAAGAAAGGCAGAGTTTGCTGTGAAAAGGCCCACAAACTGACTACCACTAGTGAAGCTAGGATAATTTGAAACTCTAAATAAAGAAGGAGAGTAAATTATAATTCACTGATTAAAATAGGAAACCATGAGTCCACACTTAAGTCAATGTATAAATTGAAAATCTGATGAGCAATGGGACCTTTACAGTTTTAAAGTACTTAGCACAAAATACTTCATTACAAACAAAAAAAGAATAACTGCAAAACAGGAAGGATTCGGAGATTCTCAAGGTGGCAGTGTGAGTAGG